AGGGTTTTTTCTTGTTTGTTCCAAATTTTGGATAATTTACTAAGAACAAATCAATATTGCTTTAGTCTTCTATTTAATAGTAGTTCTAATACCTAAATTAGTTGACTTTGGTTGTTTAACATTAAAATTTTTTTACGAATTGAATTTTCATAGACAATTTAGTTTCCCTTTATATAGTACTAAAAGTGTAGCTGTACCCTATCACCATTTTTAACATTTCCTGACTTTGTAAGTGCCATCAACTCATACTTCAAACCTAAGATGTTCCCCAGAATCAAGTTTCATGAATTTGGAGGATCCTAGTATCAGTGACATTGTCAACAGCTCTTTTTTTTTTTTTTTTTTTTTTTCAGCTAGTTCTGTGAGTTCATGTATTTTAGATTCCACCTGTAGTTAATAGTGTTGTCAATAGCTCTTTATTCTTTAAACAAAGGTGAATTTTTGCGGGTCTATAATGATTTTGTTTGGTTTGTTTTGTTTTGTTTTGTTGTAAGGATTGACTGAGATAATTAGTAGTGCCAGAAGACAGCACATAGCTCTGTAATAAAACAATGATCAACATAAATAATTTTTGAGCTGTATTTCTGTAGGTTGTTATTCCTTTGCATGTAGGACACTGTAGAAAAGCTCTTTTTTTAGTGTGTCCAGAAGGCCTTGAGTATTGACATAGACAACTCATGGTTAGGGTTTCAGTCTTAAACTGAACTATTCAGTACTGTTTTATAAGCGTTTGCGGTTGTTGCTAATTTGGATATCAGGTCTTAACTGTCCTTCTAGCTAGGATGGTTATGGATAACCATCTCTTACTTTTGAATGAATATCTTTTTTTCCATGTCTTAATTTAGTCTGGTGTGCTGCCTAAAACTAGGTCTTTACCACCTTGTGATTCCTTGCAAACTTCTTCCTAAGGTAATCATTCTTTTCACTGACACTGTAGATTTTGCCTTCCCTCCCCCTTTTTTATTATGGATAATTATTGTTCATTGTTTTTATTACAGATAATTTCAAACATATAGAAAATTAGAACTAAGGATACAGTTCAGTGGTAGAGCACTTGTATAGCATTTTTTCCCCAGTACTTCAAAAACAAACCAAAACAAAATTTTAAAAACCCAGAAAGTAAAGATAATAATAGTGTTCCTTTCATCTAGCTTTGACAGTCTTAGAGGCACTCTTGTTTTAGTATTACTTTCTCTTAAGGCTTTTCCCCTTTCTGTTATTTTGTAGCATCTCTCATGTATTGTATTAACTTATTACTTAATATTGGAGCATTATCTCTAAAAGATAGCACTTTTTTCTTTTTTTTTTTTTTTCCCTTTCTGTTATTTTGTAGCATCTCTCATGTATTGTATTAACTTATTACTTAATATTGGAGCATTATCTCTAAAAGATAGCACTTTTTTCTTTTTTTTTTTTTTTTTTGCTGTACTGGGGTTTGAACTGAGGGCTTACACCTTGAATGAGCCACTCCACCCGCCCTTTTTTGGGGGGATGGGTTTTTTTGACAGGGACTCAAGAACTATTTCCGTGTTCTGGCTTGGAAGCACGATCCTCCTGATCTCTGCTTCCTGAATAGGTAGGATTACAGATGTGAGCTACTGGTGTCTGGCAAGAACACTCTTAAAAATTATTGTCAGTACATTACTTTGCCTTACCACTTAATAATGCCTTACTTTCATCACTTACCCACTCTGCTTAAAAATTTCGCCATGGTGTCAAAAATATTTGTTAACATAAATTTGTAAGACTTCATTTCTTAGATCAGTTTTAGGTTCACAGAAAAATTGAGAAGAAAGTATAGTGAGTTCCCATATCTTTTGCTCCTTTTTCACTATCAAGAAACTGAAAAAAATTGTTTCAGTTGGTAAACCTGCATTGACAATTCATCATTGCCCAAAGTCCAGTCTAGATTATGGTTCACTCTTCATGTTTATATATTCTGTGAGTTTGACAAATAATCTAATGACTTGTGCTCTATTTATCCTTCTATCATCCACTTGCAACCACTGATTCTTTTACTGTCTCCATAGTTTTGCCTTTTACAGAATGTCATATAGTTGGATAATACCATAGATAGTCTTTTCAAATTGGTGCTTTCACTCACTTATATGAATTTTAAGGTTTCTCCATGTCCTTTCATCACTTGATAGCTCACTTCTTTTTAGTGCTAAATAATACTTCCTTACCTGGAATTGTCACAATTTATCCATTTACCTACTGAAGAACATCTTGGTTGCTTTCAAGTATTGGCAGTTACAAATGAATCTTCCATAGATCTGTGTGCAGATTTTAGTGTGGATATAGTTTTCAGTTCCTTTAGGTAAATACTAAGGAACGATTAATGGGTCTTAAAGTAAGAGCATGTTTAATTTTGTAAGAAGCAGCCAAACCATCTTCAAATTGGCTGCACCATTTTGCAGTCCCATCATCAATGACAGTTACTGTTGTTCCACATCCTTGCCAGCGTTTGATGGTGTTAGTGTTCTGGACTTTGGCTCTGTGATGGTTATGTGTTGTTAACTCATTGTTTATGTTTTTCTGGTTACGTATGATTGACAGCATCTTTTTATATGTTTATTTGCCATCTGTGTATTTTTGGAGAGGTACCCATGAAGATTTTTGGCCTGTTTTCTTACTGAATTTTATTACTTCTTTGAACAATAATTTTGACAGTCTTCTGGACAGTAGTCCTTTTTCAAATATGTCTTTTCCAAATGCTTTGCCTAGTCTGTTCACTGTATCATTTCTCCTCCCTTCCTTCCCTCCCTCCCTCTCTCTTCTTTCCATTTCCCTCTCCCTCTCCCTCCTAAGGATTGAATTTAGGACCTTGGTGCTTACTAGGCAGGTGAACCTATCTCTAGAGCCACTCTGCCAGCCCTTTTTGCCTTGATTGTTTTTGAGATAGGGTCTTGCTAATGCTGGACCAGCCTGGATGGTGATCCTCTTATTTATGCTTCCCTGAATAGCTGGGATGGCAGGTATGTGGTGTGACCACCACACCTAGTCATCATCTCATTTCTTGAAAGAGACATTTTAAAACTGGCCTGCAAATAAGGATCATAAATTAAAATTTCTTGTCTTGCACCTCTCCACCTCATAAGTATGCCTTCCTTTTTCTTGTCTCTTTGCATTGGCTTGGACTTTTAGTTCCATGTTGAATACTAGTGTGGTGAAATGAACATCTTGCCTTGTTCCTGATTTTAGAGGGAAACCCATCTAAAATGGTTTTATAATGGTTTACCATTATATGAAGATTTTTTTTTGTGAATGTACTTTTATCAGGTCTAAACAGCCCCTTGCCCCTTTTATTCCTAATTTACTGAAAATTTTGTCATGGATTAATGCTGTCAAATGCTTTTTCTTCCTTGTGTGTGATTTTTCTTCTTTTGTCTGTTACTACAGTGAGTTACGTTGGCTTTTTTTTTTCCCCCTTTAAATTTTATCTTAGCCTCACATTTCTAGGCTAAGCCCCACTTGGTCTCTTTTTCTATACAACTGGATTGGATTTGATATAGTATTCTGTAGAGGGTTTCTGCATCTGTGTTCAGCAGGGATATTGGTTTGTAGTTTTCTTGTGCTGGTTTTTGTATTGGGATAATATTGGCCTCATAAAATGAACTGAGAAATGTTCCTTTTTTCATAAGAGATTGAGGGCATTTTTAGTAATTTGCATTTTTCAAGGAAAAGGTCCATTTTTGTCCAAGTTGTTGATTCCCCCTCCCCCCCTTCCATCAGGGAGTTGCTGTATAGCACAGGCTGGTCTAGAACTCATGATTATTTTGCCTGAGCTTCATAGTGCTGCAGATATAGGGATGTGCTAGTTAGTCATGCTGTTGATGTGTGTAGTTTTCTCTCTCTCTCTTTCTTTTTTTTCTTTTAGTGGGACTAGGATTTGAACTCAAGCAGGTACTCTTATCATTGTGTAGTTTTCTTTGTTCTTTTAAAGTCTCTGTGGTATTCTTTCTGTTTTTCCTGATCTTATTAATTTATTTCTTGTTTTCTTGGTCAAACTGGCTAGAGGTTTATCAATTTTGAGACTTTAAAATATTTTTCTTTTGTTTTTCTATGCTTTGATTTCTCCTTTTTTTTTTTTTGGAGGGGGTGTCTAGTTTTCTGTTCTAATTTCTAAAAGTGGAAACTTAAATTACTAATATGTCATCTTTCTCCTAAAGGAAAAAGTCTGTATTTAATACATGTATTTACTTAAGAATTGATGTACCTGCATCTCACAAATTTTTAATATTTTATCTTGTTTTTGCTCTGCTGAAAATATTTTCTAATTTCTTCTCAAGACTTTTTTTTGATCCATGAATTATTTAGAAGGGTTTTGTTCAATTTGGGCATTTATATTTCTCTGTTACTAATTTCTAATGTAATGCCATTATTATCAGAGCATATATTTAAAAGATTCAGTTATTTTAAAATTTCCAAGGTATGTGCTATGACTCAGAAATATGGTCTGTCCTGAGTGCTTTTTGTCTACTTGAAAAGAATGTATCATTCTCAACCACAAGGTCTGCTTTTTATATTTGCTTCTCCATCATACCGTTAATAAATGTTGAGTGAAAGAAGTGGGAAGGACAGTTAGTGTAGTTAGTGTAATAGTTTGAGAACTGGGGCTGACCGTATATGTATGGAATTAGAAAGAGCAGACTGGAGATGGAAATCTGAGGAATAGGTTATGGCAAACTTGGTAAGAGCTAATTTGTGGCCCGAACTAAATTTGGTTTGGTTGACATAAAAAGAATTAAGAAGGGTATTTCACAACAATAAACTATTAGACCTTAGTAGAGGATTGATTATGAAATATAGGCACCTATAACAAGACCTTTGCAGTAGAAGTGACCTGGTAATCATTATACACTAAGATCAAGATACACAGAAAAGATACTTTATGTTGTTTGAGTTGTTGTATCTATTGTGGGGGCCTCTTTGAGGTACTTCTGGAAGCCAATCTGGATAGTGCTATGCAAACACCTCTTTATTTTTATCTTAATTAGTTCAAAGAAGAAATCTCTAAACGCTTCAAATCACATACTGATCAACTTGTATTGATATTTGCTGGAAAAATTTTAAAAGATCAAGATACTTTGAGTCAACATGGTATTCATGATGGACTTACTGTTCACCTCGTCATCAAAACTCAAAACAGGTATGTTTTTAGAAGATACACATTCATGCTAGGCAAATGTTCTGCCACTGAACCACATCTTTGTTCTCTCATTTTAGAGGGTTCAGCAGTGTTTAGGCATTATATGTTTTAGACAATCTGCATTAGATAACAACTAAGTTAATACATTTTTATCTATTCCTTTAGTTTTAGGGAAAGTTTTAGACAAGAGCTTGGTAACTCGTCTCCTAACAAACTACAGATCTCTCATAATTTGTTAAATGTAACATACCATGAATTTTTAAGAGAAACCTTACTTATGTATCACTGAGAAAGAATACTCTAATGAAACTTGTGTTTTCTTGTTATTTAAAATTTTATCCTTAGTGAGTTTCCTTAGATTTACTTGAATATGGTCACATTCTTTTGGATATACACAAAAAATAAATAAATAAAATAAATTGACTAAGGCCTTCCTAAAGTTACTTCATGTTGGGTCTCATTCTTTTTGTTCCCATGGGTTTTTTGGTTTGTTTGTTTATTTTATACTGGGGTTTGAATTGAGGGCTTCAAGCTTGCAAAGCAGACTTGAGCTATGCCTCCAGTCCCGTTTTCCCTGGTTATTTCGGAGATGGGTTCTCTCAAACTATTTACTATAGTCCTCCCAATCTCAGCTTCCCAAGTAACTAGAATTACAGGTGTGAGTCACTGGTGCCTCACTTGTTTGTTTATTGAGACAGAGTCTCACTATGTAGCCTGGTTTTCCTTGAACTCAAGATTTACCTTCTGCCTATGGAGTGCTAGGATTACAGGTACCTGTCAAATCCCCCTTGTCTTAGACATCAGTGTCCATATTTTTCCATACAGTATCAAACTGTGTTCTAGTGAGCATTGATGGTGCAGCATTTCTTAAAATACAGCTGGAATGTTTTTTTCAGGATTTTCTTCAAAGCCATTAACACCTGTTTAGCAAATTTTCATGATGGATTCCTTTAAGAGCAAATATTTGCTTTCCTTTTAAGAAATTTATTTCCTCTATTCTGTGTTTTATGGTGCAGCATTTCTTAAAATACAGCTGGAATGTTTTTTTCAGGATTTTCTTCAAAGCCATTAACACCTGTTTAGCAAATTTTCATGATGGATTCCTTTAAGAGCAAATATTTGCTTTCCTTTTAAGAAATTTATTCCTCTATTCCTGTGTTTTTCTACATGCATGATAACTTTTTTCAATGCCAATTAATGATACACATTTACTGAGGACACTATATATGGTAATTAAACTTAGAAATGTACTCAGTCACTCAGCTGAAGTCCTATAGAGCACATATATGGAGACATTGTAGTTTGTGCCTGGCTGTCAGGCAGTTAAGACAGCCCAATTTCAGAGGTGTTAAAATGAAAAATTATATACCTTAGAATAAATGAAAGAAACAGTGAGATTCAGAACTCTTGTATCAGATGAAGGGTTCTCTAATAAAGTCATAGTATTAATAATAACTAGTTATTACTTATATTGATTTTTCAGTTATTGGTGAAATCTCTTATTTTTCTTTTAACAATTTCATGGATTTAAGTAAAACAGGAGCCTAACCCTGTAGATTCAGAAGGGGATAGATTAGAAAGCTGTTTATCTGGTGAAACTTTGTGGGTATGGGTAATCACTGATGGTCTTCTGTGGGTGACTGATCTCCCTCGTTCCCCCACCCCCGCAAAATACAATGAATGTAAGTGGAAGGAATGAATTATTTGTGTATATTATACTCAGAGAGGAGGGGCATAGCAGTATATTTTGGATTTTAAAAGGTTTCACTGTGTTTCTATTTTTTGTTCATAATGCTTAGTTATTGCAGGATATTTATGATTTGAGTTTATATGAGAGCTTACCTTTATTTCTGGTTATTGGAATTTAGAGGTCCTTTTAAAAATTATTAGCTCCATTGATTCACATTGTGACTTAATTGTCATCCCTAGGCCTCAAGATCATTCAGCTCAGCAAACAAATACCACTGGAAGCAATGTTACCACTTCATCAGCTCCTAATAGTAACTCCACATCTGGTTCTTCTACTAGCAACCCTTTTGGTTTAGGTAAGTGGCTTAACTCATTTTTATAGGGAACAACAACAGCAACAAAAAAGGCAAAACTAAAACAACTCCTCTTTCTCCCAGAGTGTTTTCAGATAAAATGACAGAATAAAAACATGAAGTTACTTTAACAAAACAACTTAAAACTTTTTATAGTTTCACTTTTATACTTGTAGGCATTAAGGAAATAGGTGAGGATACCGGTATGCTTGATTAGCTCACATTATAAATCAGTCAGTAAGTGACATATTTATGTTTAATAATGAAAGAGATTCACTATATGTGTACCTGATCTGACTACCACGCAATTGCATCTAAGGAAATTTAGCTTATTGTTGATCATAAGGTATGATTAGCAAAGTAATAATTTTCCCTTTTATGAAATGAAGGAATCAGACTGCACTTTACTTTGAAACTATCCTGACACACAGAAGGACTATGGCCTGAAAGCAAGCCCAATGGTTATGGAGCTCCTGCATCAGCTTGAACTGCTTTTCATCTATCAGTTTTATGTGTACTATTTTTACATGTCAGTGATCACATCTTTGATCCTGTTTTTTTTTGAGATAGAGTCTCAAGAACTATTCACCTGGGCTGGCCTCGAACTGTGATCCTCCTGATCTCTGCCTCTGGAGTAGCTAGGATTACAGGCGTGGGCCACTGGTGCCTGGCACCTTTTACCCTTTCCATATGAGTTTTTTAGCTGTTTAGTTATATTATGACAAATATATGTTGGAAGCAGTTCAGAGCATGACATGGATTGGTGTATTCATATTTGAGTTAAACTTTTTAAATTTAAATATTTGCTGTTCTTATTTCACTAAGCTGACCACATTCCATTTTTTGCCACATCACTTCACTGAAAATTCCCTTGATAAGATTGTCATTGACATTAGTACAAATGTAGTGAACACTTTTTAAAAATTGTAAGTCAATTTCTTAATGCTTACAAATCTGTCCTTCAAAATTTTCCTATTAGTTGGTTTTATGACCAGTTGTTTTTTTTTTTCCCCCCTGGGTTTTTTTGTGGTTCCTTTATGTTATATTGCTACCTGGAGTTGTGCCCTGATTTTCTTCTCTTCCTTTAGTCTATTTATTCTCCCAGACTATCATATTATATCCTGGTGACTCTCAAATTTATACCTCGACCCACACCACTAATGAACACCATGCCTTGTATTCACCTCTTAGGTATTACCTGATGTTCTCTTAAGAAATTTTAGCCTATACCTCAGAAAACTAAGAAAAATAAAAAAACATATAAAAACTTCATGTCTTACCCCTCAAATTGCTACTTTTCCTCTGAGTCTTTTGGTCCATAACTTCTTCTCCACCCTACCTCATAAGCTATTTCCTATTCCTGTTCTCTTAATACAGGACCTCAACCTTTTTTGTCCATAATATTTTCTCTAATTCCTTTTCACAGTGCTGTTAGAAGACATTTTAAATGACTTAGTCTCTTGAAAGATTTTTAAGATTTAGCCCTTGTCTATTTCTGTATCTCATTTCTTATCCATTGCAGGAATTATATAAGTCAATTTAGGTTATCTGGTGAAACCTCAAATTCATGGCAGCCTAAATTGTCCAGAGAGGTCTAGAGACAAGATAATTCCCCCTCAAGGGCATGTACCCTGTTACCCACTTCCTTTCAACTAGGCCCTACTGAACTCATCAGGGATCAGTCCGTTGGTAAGGTTAGTGCTCTCATGATCCATTCACCTCTTAACAGTGCCACTAGCTGAGTGCCAAGCTTTTGACATCTGAGGCTGGAGGGAGATACTTCTATCTAAACCATAACGTAGGAATTAAACATAGATAAGTAATATGAATTCTATTTTTGTCGTAAAGTAGTTTTTTATAATGGATTGTTAAGTCAGCTGACATTTTTGCATCTTCATGTTTTAGCACAGTTGTGGTAACAATAAAAATTTATGTGTGTTTTTCCCCCTCGTCATCTAAGGTGGTCTTGGAGGACTTGCAGGTCTGAGTAGCTTGGGTTTGAATACTACCAACTTCTCTGAACTACAGAGTCAAATGCAACGACAACTTTTGTCCAACCCTGAAATGATGGTCCAGATCATGGAAAATCCCTTCGTCCAGAGCATGCTGTCAAATCCTGACCTGATGAGGCAGTTAATTATGGCCAATCCACAAATGCAGCAGTTGATACAAAGGAATCCAGAAATTAGTCATATGCTCAATAATCCAGACATAATGAGACAAGTATGTGGAAAATTATTATGGTTTATTTAGCTAAAAAATTATGTATTCTTAATTTTCTGTAGTTACAGAAATTGTCTTGTAGATACTCTTAAGCTAAAGAGAAATTCTAATCATCATTTAAGAAAACTCAACAAACTACTAATTTGGGCTATTTTAACATTGAATTTTTTTTGCTATACTTGAAAGCTCTTTTTAAATAGTTTGAGAAACAAAAAGTCCATTTCTGGAGATGGGCAGTCATTCATAACAGAGAGCTTTTTTTTTTGATACCATAAATGTTAGCTTGCTTTTTGAGGTAAAATCTATAGAAATTTTAAAAAATACATTTTTCTGACTTAAATACTACAACAAATTTGGCTTAAAACTCTAAATTGGCTTTTATTTGTGATTCTAGAATCTTAGTGGCACCTTATTCTGTAAATATAATAAGTGTTCCCATGAGCTGAGCAAAGGAGGTTAGCTTTCAGGAGGTAGAAAATGACTGAAGAAAGAGAAATAGAACAAAAAGCAGATGGGTTATTGCAGTTACTTATTGGGTTACAATACTGACTGAGGTTGATTGGATGGAGTCTTCTGCTTATTTGTTTTTATTTCTTACAGAAGCCTTTTTCAGCTTGATTACTTGGCATTTAGCACAAGTGGCTCCATTCAGTGTGCCAGGGCCTAGGGCAAGAGGCTAGTTCAACACAATGGCCTCCTATAAACTTTAACAGAGTTAATAGCTAAAATAATTCCATTTGTATTTCAGTGCCATTTTTAAAGGAAATTTTTCTTGTAGACATTGGAACTTGCCAGGAATCCAGCAATGATGCAGGAAATGATGAGAAACCAGGACCGAGCTTTAAGCAACTTAGAAAGTATTCCTGGGGGATACAATGCTTTACGGCGCATGTATACAGATATTCAGGAACCGATGCTGAGTGCTGCACAAGAGCAGGTGATCCATTGGCTCTGAGGCTGGGGCCTAGGAGTAGCTCCTATCTAATACAAATAAATACATGTGAAGTGAGGGTGTTTTTATAAGGAAATATGATTTCACTAAAAAATAGTTTCAAGGCCAGGTGTGGGTGGCTCATGCCTATAATGATAGCTACTTGGGAGGCTGAGCTCGGGAGAATTAAGGTTTGAGGACAGTCCGGGCAAATTCTTGGGACCCCATCTCTAAAATAACCAGACCAAAATGGATGGGAGGTGTGACTCAAATGGTGGAGCACCTGCTTAGCAAATGTGAAGCCCTGAGATCAAACCTAAGTCCCACCAAAAAAAAAAAGTTTCCTATGTTATTTAAAACAAAAGCTTATTTATGATTTTTGTGTCTTTATTACAGTTTGGTGGTAATCCATTTGCTTCCTTAGTGAGCAGTACATCCTCAGGCGAAGGTAGTCAACCTTCTCGTACAGAAAATAGAGACCCATTACCCAATCCGTGGGCTCCACAGGCTTCTCAGAGTTCATCGGCTTCCAGTGGTTCCACTAGCACTGTGGGTGGCACAGCTGGTAGTGCTACCAGTGCCACTGCTGGGCAGAGTACTACTGGGCCAAGTTTGGTGCCTGGAGTAGGAGGTATGCTTATAAGTCATGCTTTCTCGTTGTTGTTCTCATTTACATGAATAATGAAAATAATGCTTTTATTGTTACCTGTGGTTTCGCGTGTGTGTCCAGTAATATGCCTGCCTTTTATGATTAACATACCCATATCAGTTCATGTACTTATTTTTTCTGCGGTCAGAAAAACGAAAGTCTGTACTCTTAGCATTTTTCAAATATAGAGTAATTAGTAATTGTAGTCACTGTGCTGTACAGTAGATCTCCAGAACTCATTCATGGAAAGATTTTAAGCAGAGGAATGGCACAACATTTTTAAAGCAATAATAGGATCAACCTAGTTACTATTTGAAGAACATACTGGAGAAGCCAGAATTAATAAAAAAAGTTTGATTATGAGGTCATTCCATTAACCCAGGACATGAGGTAGAAAGTAGAAAAATAATTAGTGACAAAGATGCAAGAAAGTAATTTAATAGTCCCACTATGTATTTGTTTTAATTGAGATATAATTCAGGTAAAATAAAAATGATTTTAGATATTCAGTTCTACCTGCTTCAGTGAATTTATACAGCTAGGTTTCTGCCACTCTAAGACACAAAACATTTCTGTATTTAGTTCTTTCAACCATATAAGCAGCCATTAATCTTTTTGCCACTGTAGATTAGTTTTCCCCGCTTTAGGAATTCATATAAATGGAATTGCACAGTATGTAGTCTTTTGTGTCTTATTTCCTTTTACTTACTGTTTTTTAAATCCATCACAATGTTGTGTATCTCTCTAGCTTGTTCCTTATTATTGAAAAATACTGCCTTCTGTGGGTATCATTACAACATATGTGACTTTTTTTCTTTTTTTGCCTAGCATCTCTCTACTTTGCAGAGATGAAGAGGCAAAAGAATTAGAATTAAAGCTTTGACAATAAAATTGAGATTCTAAAATAGGATAAAGGCCTTATATGGTAGGATCTTTTGGCAAGGGCCAAAAGAGTTTATTTTCTGGCCAAAAGAGTGGTGTGTGGAGACCTTAAAATTTGGGCATCTCCTGAGTTGAAATGAGCATGTCAGATGATCTATATAAATGAAGGCACAGTATAGGCACAATTGGGGCCTGAGTGTTGTGTTCATATTTTTCTGGGAAGGTCTGGTTTTGGCTATATCCATAAGTAATTGTTACTGTTAGGCTTCTTATTCTTCTGCGTATGTTTGCTGTTTGCTTTCTTTAGTTTTGTTTTGGGATTCTTGAACCAAACCTATCGTAATGTTGAATGTGTGTCCATTTTTGAGGCTCTTGCTTTCTGAAGGCTGGGGTTTGGGTATTTAGCAAGATGTTCAAATGCTCCATTTCACAGTTTGCATAGTTTATTTCCTTTGTGAGTGTTTCTGTTGCTTTTGGTAAGGTTCTTAGAGCCTGACATCTAATAATCCAGTTGTTTTCTTTTTATGTTTATGTCCAGTGATAAGCAAAAGAAAAAGGGTATTTTTTTTGTTTTGTTTTGTTTTTAAATTCAGGACTTTGTGCTTGTAGGCAAGCTTTCTGCCACTTGAGCCACTCCACCAGCTCTAAAATCTAAAATAAACCTTTATTATTTTGTTGGGGGGGAGACTGGGGTTGAACTCAGGGCTTCACTCTTATTAGAGTTTTTGGTTTTCTGAAGAAAGTTTTAACTATGTGATGGTTAATCACTTGTATATATTATAGTGGAAGGGTTACTGAAGATTCCAGAGGCAGTTTTCTGTTTTTACATGTTGAGAGAAGTAGATGGTAGCTTTGTTTCAATGGTAAATAAACTAAAGTGAAGAGGGAACGTATGGCTACCTGTGTTGTTATTACTAGAGCACATGATCCCTGAATTTAGTCTGGTTTTGTATTCCACATCAGTAGACTCTAAAAAGCCAGTCTTGAGGTCAGGGCTAAACTAGCTGCAGCAGAGTACCTGCCAGATGTGTTAAAAATCAGATTTCCACAGCTAGGCACAGTGGTGCATGCCATAGTCTCAACTACTGGGGAGACTGAGATAGATCACTTGAGCCTGGGAGTTCAAAAACCAGCCCAGGGAACATAGGGAGACCCTCCCCCAGCCACCCCTCCCCTGGGTTTGAACTCAGAGCTTTGCATTTGCTAGGCAGGTACTCTACCACTTGAGCCACACCTCCAGCCTCTGAGAGCCTATCTTAAACAACCCAGGTTTCCAGGTCTTAACGTTAGACCCTGTGGATCAGAATCTTTCGTGGTGGAGCTTACCATCTATTTTTATAAAACTGACGATTATGTTGGGTTGAATGGATAGGGAATTTACTTTTCTGAGGGTGAGACTCAAATAGTTATCTTTCCTTCCAACTATTCAGATGGTTAAAACATCAAATGCTGATTTATCTGTGAATTAAGTTCAATTCACAGAGGAATGATTTCAGTCAGCTTTTTATACCTGAGATAAATCAGCTTAAGAGGAAAGATTAAATTTGGCTTATACTTCAGAGGTTTCAGTCCATGGTTACTTGGTCCCATTGCTTTTCTACCTGTTCTGAGGCAGTACATTATGGTTGGAAGTCTGGTAAAGGAAGCTGCTCACCTCATGGTTGCTGGGAATGGAAAGAAAGGGAAGGAAGGTTCCCTTCATGGGATATTGGGGATCTCCACAGTGACTTAATTTCCTTCCACAAGGCTCTATCTCTTAAAGATTTTGCCACCTCCTAATAAGAACTGGGGACCAGTTCTCCAACACATGGGCCTTTGGGAGACACTTACCCAAACCATAACTGTACTTATATTTGGCATATAAATAGGAAGAAATGGAAACATGGGAGCACTTCCATAAAGTGAGAGGGCCTGGATATGTTTTATTTATTTATTTTAATTTTTATTTTTTTAATTTCTTTTATTCATATGTGCATACAATGTTTGGGTCATTTCTCCCCCCTTTCCCACTTCCCCCTCCCTTTCCCCTGCCCCCTCCCTCTGTTTCCCTACTCCTTCGCTACCAGGCAGAAACTATTCTGCCCTTATCTCTAATTTTGTTAAAGAGAGAGTATAAGCAATAAATAGGAAGGACCAAGGGTTTTTGCTAGTTGAGATACAGGGAGTTTACTCGCATTGCTTTCCTATACATATGTGTTACATTCTAAATTAATTCTTCTCAAACTAACCTTTTCTCTAGTTCCTGGTCCCCTTCCTTCTCCTATTGACCTCTGTTGCTTTAAAGTTTCTGCATTAGTTCCTTTGCATTGAGGACATCAAATGCTATCTTGTTGGGGTTTTTTTTGCTTTTTTGGGTTTTTAGGATTTCTTGCCTATCCTCGTACCTCCCTTATATGCTTCTCGCTGCCTCATGTGATCAAAGTCCAATCCCCTTGTTGTGTTTGCCTTTGATCTAAAGCCTGGATGTGTTTTAAAAGATACTTGTGTCTTGGTAGAGGAACTGTAAAGGTGAGGAACTTTTTAAAAATTCATTGCTGAGAGAAGAATCAGAATGAAGTATGATTGATG